ATATCTAAAACACACTTCATACCCTATATTTTAAGCCATTGAATCCCATATCCAAGTATCTTAAAAAAATAAATATCGAATAAAACAATATATTATAAATTTATATTTTATACGAATGTTTATTTACAATAAAATCTTATTTAAAATTTTTTAAATGTATCTTGATCTACTGATATAATTTCATTTAACCATTATATATTGTTTCTTTTAAGAAATAATACTATGACAGCCTCAACCGGGCGGCGAAGCCGCCCACATCTGCATCCACTAGTCACCAGTTATAAAAATAAACGTGAATGATTAACACCCATCGATCATACTTGTATCCTATAAAATAGTATTTGTGTTCCGCCTCAACTTGTCGACTTGACCAAAAAAATCATTGTCTAATGCCAAATCACAACATATACTTTTAATCAATTCTAGTACACAACTGTATTTGTGATTCAAAACTGCAAGCGGGCGACGAAGCCGCCCGCAAATATAACATTGCTAGTTAATTAAATTAAAAAATGGATCTGGCTTCCAACTCTAGATCTGGCTGTACTAGTAATTCATCTAACTTTAATATTAGCTTCTTAATTCAGGCAGCGAAGCGCCACAAAATCATATTCTCGTTTTTATACCAAGAAACAAAGTAGATATCAGCATTGCATATTGCGAGATAACAAAAAGAGCTATAATTAGATCAGATTACACAAAGTAAAGCGAATATTATGAGGGGAATAATGATATTTCAAAACGAGTAATCTACCAAAATTGATTTGGATAGCTAATTAAAATTACCATCTAATTTTATTTAATCGTTCAGCATAATTTGAAAAGGTACTATGGTATGTTTTATAAAGCTTGCTACCCCTTGATATTACCAACAAATCTACTAACGGTGTTAAAAATTCATACATAATCATGCCATCTCTGGGATTTTTTAAAAATTTCAAAGGTTCCAATAAATCAGCAAAGTCATCTAATATATATACACATGGAAAAGTTTGAAAGAAAGGCTTGAGGGAAGTGTCATTACGATTTACATCTGTTGCCAAAAATATTACGGGTAGTAAAAAAGTATTGTTATTTTCGATACTGATATTTTTAAAATCTTCTTGAATTCTTTTGATGAGTTCTTGTACTGTTTGGTCTTGATTCTTGACAAAATAGCCATCTCCTAACCTTGCATGTGCACTAATAAAACTATTCGTTCCTCCAATTTTATTAACAATTCTATTTACGACATTAATTATTATTGGATTTTTTGGTAACATTTCATTCATTAACTTTTTCCAAAATTCTTGACTTTTTCGTAATTGTTTCTTAATTCTATTCGTTGAATATATATTTCCAAAATGCATTAGTTTTTGGGGTTTTTTACTTAATGTTATTAAATTTACCCGTTTTTTATATTTGCCAAGCTTGGTTTTTGATTCAGAGTTATCATAATACTGTTCTTGATATGGATATTCGTCACTGGACACATTATACACTTCAGTATTAGGGTCAATGTTAAGTGACTTTACTAAATGGCTAAAATTAAAATCTTGTCGATGAATATGCTTGATATGTTTTTTACAAATGAAAAATCTATCAAGTTTTCCCAATTATACATTGTATAAGATACGGATTTGCAAATCCTTTGATTTTCTTGAAAACATGTAGTATTGCAATTTGTATCAAAGATTTGAATATCTTTTATACCCCGAAAATTACTTTCTGTTTCATCTTCACTAAAACAGAATATGAATTTGTTTTCTTTAAAATTATTGCTGGGATGCATAAAACGTGATAAAAGATTATATAGTTTAGCATATGGTTGTGCTATGATTGGTGTAACTCCTATGAAATATAGGATAGGTGGAATTACTAAAGTTCTGTTTAAAAACCATGCCAAGAATATTGCATTTTCTAATTCAACTCTCTGATTATTGAAACCATCATGGGGAAGGTAAGCTAAAAATTTTTCTTCATATCTTGTTAAATGATATTTATTTGAATTTGGGACATTAGGTTTATTTGAAATTGAGATATTAACTTCATTTGAATTTAGAATATTAAATTTAGTTGAAATTTGACTAAATTCAGTTGAATTTGAGATTTGCACATGTTGACGACCGTAATTTGAAAACAAAGATAAAAATATAAGATAATTCACGACTAAAACTAGAAAACCAATTTTTATCGTTGTATAAATGTGAGCCATTATAAGTAGTAAATTTGTCGTCTACTTGTAAACAACAAATTTAACAAAAAACAGTTTATATAAGTAAAGCCTCCCTAATGTGACTCATGAATTAATTGTTTAGGGGCTGCATTTATTGTTAGAGGGTCCTATTGTGACGCAACCAAGTTTCAGAATTAAACTTTGGCTTGTGGAACATGTGAGATATGTAGTGTAACTCTATAATAG